GCTCCCCTCCCTCCGGCTCCTCTGCCTCGGTGGCGGGCACTGCTGCGGCGGGGATCCCGCCCTGCCTCCCCCCTGCGCGGCGGGGCTGTTTCGGGGAGCCCTTCCTCACCAACTTTCCGCTCCGTCTTCTTCTCCCGGAGGGGGGGAGCCCCGCCGGAGGGGCGGGCAGCGGCGGGCAGGGAGCCCGTGGGGGCACTTCGGGTCCCGTTTGGGAGCAGGAGTGCCGCGGAGAAGGGAAACGAGGTTTCCAGTTTGAAAGGCACCTCGCGGGACGGGAGTAAACTTGTGTACATCCTCACGCGTGGGGCTGGATGCGGAAAGCAGCTGTCAGAATTCCAGGTTAATGCAGTTTTTTTGGCTGGCTTGGGCTGCCGAAGGCATTCTGGTGGAATTAACTTTTTGACGGATGGTGTATTTACATCACTTTTTTTCTCTGTAAAATGAACTCCAACAAGCATGCATTTAAAAGTATAAAAAAAAAAATGCGACTGGACCTACTTTCTGTGTGGAAGGATCCCGTGACCTCCTGCAAAGTGTGGCCCACATTCAGTGATGGGGTCTGCGCAAAACCCCACTGGGGTAAGCTTACGGGTGCAGTGACATCAACATCAGAGTTTTTGCTGTAAGCGTCTGGTCCAAGGGGACTCCATGCACGCTCAGACAGATCACGCTTACATTTTGATTTCTACGCAGTAGGTCATGTGTTGTTCTTTCCTTTTCTGAGCACCTATTAAAGTTAGCAAGGAGCTGTTTGTGGAGGCCTCTTGGGTTGGTGTTGTTCTTCCCTTGAGCTTTTGTTTCACACACTACATCCAAAAGGCAGCCACCTTTAAACAGAAAACATTGGTTGTTAAACAGCAGCATTAACCTATTATGTGAAGTGGAAAGCCATTTTTTCCCCAAACCTAGGCATGAGGTGTCATCCCATTTTATTGCTGAATGTTAATTTTGCGTTTGTGAGGCCTGGCTCAAGGGTTACTATAATAAGTAATAGACAACTATTGCATCGTCTTGAAACCATAGCCCTACACAAACTTTCATCTTTAATACCTCTTCTGTGTGGCGGTCTTCAAACTGTGTTAAGTGGCAGAACGTGGTGCTTTATTAGCTGTAGAAGTGTGAAGTGTATTTGAGGGTTTGCTCTCATAGAGGTTGATCCTTGCATAAGGAAAATAGGTGGATTATGAACGTTATTGAAACAGGTTTGTGAGCATGAGATCTCAGCCAATTCTTACCAGCTGTCACAGGTTGGTGGGATATTCTGTATCTGAGGGTTGTGAATGAATGAAAAGCTGTGGTTGCCTGAAGTCCTAAGACAGCCCTACAAGTGATGCTTTCGCTTATCTTAGTTTGTGTCTCAGTTCTATTTCTGTGAATCATATATATATATATATATATATATATATATATATATGAAAAAGTGACTGCTAACATAACTGGAGGCATAAAGTGTTGCTTCACGGGTTGCAATTTACAATAATATTCAACCCCGAATATAAACATCTTTCTCGCCATTTAATTAAAAGTGATATATCTTTGTTAAAGATGAGACCCATGTTAAATAATTCAGTAGCACTTTATTTTATAACTCACGATGCATTATTTAAAAGTAGCTATATTTAGACGGACAACTCCCATTTAGTTTAAGGGTGTTGTATGTTTGCTGTTGTAGTAGTTGGTGATCAGTGGTTACATGAAACCACTAGAGTAAGGAACATGAGGGAGCTGCTCTTTTACCCAGCTAGTCCCTTTCATTCAAATTAAATTTGTTAGGCTTCACTTACTCAGTGAATGTGTTTGTAAGCTAAGGTTTTAATTAAATGGATTGGGTTTGTCTTACAGCTAAGAATAGACTTTTGAAAGAACCTAAAACATGTATATTACATTTATCATTGATGCTTGTGGGCCATTTAACGCTGTTCTATTTTTCTCTGGAGGTTGCTTATATACTTATTGAAGCATTTCAGCAACGTGGTATTGATTCCTTAGCTCAGAACTATACCCAAAAGTCTGCTGGTAATTGTTTTTATTTTACTTAAGGAAGATGATATTTTTAGATGTTTTGGTACAGTTGATCATTTGTGAAAGCTACCATATGGTGACACTTTGCAGATAGAATCATTTGGGAGTGGATTTTTTTTTTTTTAACACGTGTATAATAAGATTTAGCAAATGTATGTATAAGAGCAAACCCCTTTCACTAGCACAAACATACGTCTAAAGATTTCTAACACCTGTAGTGCTCAAAGAGAGTTTTTAAGCTTTGTCCTCTTCTGCCTAAATAAAAACAATTAATTATTTGGCCAAGGGCAGGGGTGAAAAACAGAATGGGAAAATGAAAATAAAGAATACTATATTGGCAGATGTAATTATACTGAAGTTCATTGCTTGTTTGTGATATGCTAATCATATGCTCACAGTTCTGCATAGAAGTCTGTTGCCCAGTTTCACCATAGCTTGCCCACGTTGAATAGCAACTTCCTCTGCAAACTGCTTGCTTGATTTCAGTGGAACTACTTTTATAGTAAATTGCTGTGAGAAATGTCCAGCCCTATCGCCCATCTGTTTATGTAACTTCTATTATGTGTCTATTTTTAGTTTATGCATATGTATTACTCACATTTTCAGAGTACTTTAACGGCATGTCTGTGTCAAAATATGGCTATTATTAATTTCCCCAAACAGAAAACTTGAAGATCGACATGTTTTGGTGTCTGCAAACCTGAGGAGGAGAGAACAAGTTGTGGTGCAAAGGACTAAACTATTCTTTGGGTCAGGACCTTGTTTTGTTTTTATGAAGACTTTGGAGAACTGTAGTCAGACAGTTTTGAACCATTATATATAATGATGTACAAACAGTGTTGTATTGGGATTGATGTTGTGGAAGGTCCTCTGTGCATCTGCATTAAACTTGGTTACTTAACTTTTAAAGATGCTGACTAAGACGGGCAGCGTCATTGCCTTCCTTAAATTAAATACATGACTTCAGTTCTTGGGGCTACAGCTTGAAAACACTACCTGGCATCAGCTGGCTTCTAGTTTCTTTAAAGTTAATCACTGTGGTGCAAAGTACATTCCTTAAAAAGATGGCCTTCCTTCAGTTCTTTAGAACTTGTTGAGAAGGGAAGGTTCAAATTAGAGCTGACACTTTTTCTCTTTAAATTCTGCTCATGTTGGGGATGAGCACAAGATTAGCAAATTAAATAGTCCCTGGATACTTGGAAGTTAGGTTGTCAGATGGGCATAGTTACAGTTCCTACTCTTGTACTCTAGTACTCTGCTAAATAGTGGATATGAAGAATAGCACTTTCATTGCTGACCTGGCTTCCTACTTTAATGGGTCCATGTGCAGTTAATGGGAAAGCTCTGCTGGATACGTGTTTTTCTCTCAAATCTATGATTGGGTATCTGGCCTGTGTTTATTTTGGATGAAGCAGACATTCTGGAGCAGAAGTATAAATCAGGAAATGCAGGAAAACACAGTGTATTGAGAGAGATAAATACACTTGTAATGTGTCTGGGAGAATGCTTTCTTCCTCTCCTTCACCCCCAGTGGTTTTTGTTAATAATTAAATTGCTGCAGTGTGGGAGATCTTCAGAAACACGAGTGTGTTACAGTTAGTGGAGATGATATACGGTGTTGTTTAGTTAAATGGCAGAAGTTGTTACTAGAATTATCTGAGGTCTTAATATATTTTTTTAGAGATCCTAAATCATTATGGAGTAATAAAAGTAAATTAATTAAATTCCCCACTGTGTTTTTATTGGCCTTAGTGGATAACACCAGCCATTTAGGAACGGAGCCTTCAAAAAGTTTCTAACCTCTTCCATATGGTGACATTTGACAGTGCCAAGTCCCAGTAGTCACTTCCTGTTTGTT